GCAATGTCCACACCTATCAAATAAAACTCTATTTTTGAAATTAATGAAAACTTGAGAATACTTTCACATTTGAAGAAATTCAAACACATGAGCACAAATGTTTTTCATTGAAAAAATAACTATAATTCGTTTCTAAAGCATCTTTTCCACAATACTTTCAATAACTAAAATGAGTAATAGAAGCAAATAAATTAATTAATTAAATGGAAAATGTAGTAATTTGTGCTGTGTCATCTTTACTGCCCTGAAGTTATCAAAAATTTCCCACTTTTAAACCTTTTAGCCCAGARCTCAACGCAATGCTTAATTTGGTTATTTGCTGCTAAATGACAATATACAACAAAAATAACAGAACCAAACAAGGTTATGATCACTGTTTTATCATTTGAGCAAAACTGAGCATCTCAGTAAAGTCACATAATAAAATATGATCCATGACTGGCTCCATACTGTCGCTACATGAATGTCTCCAGTCTGAAAAGACAATTAGTTACACACTAAATCCCCCAAATCCACACACACACACACAGCTTCAGACCATTGCAACACCATGCAATCTGCTCACTGAATACTGATTACTGCCTCTTTACAACGGTAAACATCTCACTAAAATGGTGATTTTAGGTTCTTTTTGTTTTAACTACCTTATTTTAGATTTGATTTACAAAGAATACTCAATGTTCAAAAACTTCAATGCTTGTTTGGTATTTTATAATGCCCTGGCTAAGGACATTTTACTTTTTTTCTCTCCATTTTTATTGTTCGTTGTCCACACTGTTCTAGAAGAAATACTGTACTAACGCCCAAGCCATGCCACTAAGTACTGAAAGTTCACAAAATATCAAAATATGCAAAAAAATGTTTTATAATAATAATAATAATAATAATACATTAAGTAAACCAAGAAATGGAAAGTAGTTGTGAAATGTCAAATCATCCTGGGTTGGAATACCTATTCACAAGTGGCAGTAGTTGGTCAACTTCATGCTTCACAAATGTGAAACAGTTTTCAGAAACCACAGTTATACAGCTAAATATTAGTTTAGTGATTAACAGAAATAATAAATCTGGAAGATTTTTCAGTTTATACAGTAAAGGCTGGATGGGGAAGTCTTCTGTTGTTGACATCTTTTAATTAAATTGTAAATAAAACATTTCTGCACACTAGAAAATGCTAACCCCTTCTCTCAATCCGGAGCGGACTGGTTAGGAAGCCGGATGGGGGCAGGGCTTAAATTGTCTTAAAGGAACAGTAGAAAAACTAGCTGCTTTGAGACACGCAGCAGAAAAGGGTTTAAATAGAAGCTAGTAAAGTTATWATAAGTAGAAATTTAGACCAAAGCATTGCAGTTTCACTTCATAAAGACCCCAACTGAATTATTTAAATGTGAAAAGAAATTATTTAAAAACATGATGTCCACTTTAAACTAGGAATGCGCGATAYAAACGATACACAGTAGAAACAATATAAATTTGTCCTATGATAGAGATCTGTAGTCTATCAGCCAACAGCACAATTGTTTTTGATGATGTAACCAGCTGGAGTCAAAACAGAGGAAGCAGCCTGGCTGAGAGCGCAAATGAAGAGAGGAAAAAAACTTATCTGGACCTGGTTCAGGTGTGTGAAAATGAACGTTGAACTGTTTACATATTTACGTGATGGCGCGTCCTCCGGTCGGCTGCCGACCGACCACACTGCCTGCTGCAGGAGGAGCGAGCACCGCTGCATGTGTGAAGGGCTCGACACACGGGGGGCGACGTCGCTCGCTCTCCATTCATTTCCACGCAGCAAGGCGACTGTCAGTGCAGGTGAGGTCAGTGCTCAGGTGAAGTCAGTGCTCAGGTGAAGTCAGTGCTCAGGTGGAGTCAGTGCTCAGGTGAAGTCAGTGCTCAGGTGAAGTCAGTGCTCAGGTGAAGTCACTGCTCAGGTGAGACGCACAAAAATCAGTCTGGACCTCGTTTCTCCTGCTGTCATAGCGCGACGATGCTAGGGTTGGGCAATATTGGCAAAAAAAAATCACGATTAATTATGGTATTTAGCTGATAACAATTAATTTGACGATTAATCCCCTGGAGACCCTTATTTCATAGTCACATGACCAGTTTAGTGGGAAAGATTTGCTACTTGTAAAAAATTGTTCCAAATTGTGTGAAAATTACAGATTTCAGGCTATACATCATATTTTAAATTGTGTTGATTGATAAATAAATTACAGAACTTTATTTTTAATGTTCGTCATAGTTGAAGCGGAGAGGAGCACTGAGCGGACTGACCAGAGTAATCCCAGTCAGTCTGACTGGTGGCATTAATCGTATTAATCATCAAGTGCCAAAAAGTAATCGATTAATGTTTTTCTGACGATTAATTGCACATGATACGATTATGCCCAACCCTAGACGACGCACGGCCGAATTCGCGCGCACTCAAAAGCGCGACTATAATGATTGTCACCCTGCAGGAGCGAGCACAGATTAAACAGGTGGAGTGCAGAAAAAATAATCTGCAAAGTGTGTAGAAAGGAATAAATACAAACAATTTGTTTTACCACCTTAAAACGAAGCAGGTGATTCCAAACACAACATCCAATGGATGCAGATATCTGTTACATTAAAGTTATTGTGTGTGTGATTATACATATATATAATTTATATATTTTATTATTTTATTTTTATGGGAGACTTTAAAGTGTCCCTTAAAAAAGGAGATTTTAAGGTCTAATTTTTTTACCTATGCATATTTATTCCACTCAATTAATGTGTGATKTATTTATTTTCTATTATAAGTTTTATATCGTGATATAAATATCGTTACTGCCACTCATTATAATGTACATCGTGATATGAATTTTTTGCCATATCGCACATTCCTACTTTAAACTGATCCAAAATGCTGTTGCTAGAGTTCTGATGAGATATTTCTCTAATTTTAGCTTCCCTAAAATGTCTTCTTCCCGCAAAATAAAATTTGAAATCTTACTTCTACCATACAAAGCTCTCAACAACCAAGTTCAGCCTTATATCAAAGACCTTATTGTTCTATAGTTTCCAAACAGAGCTTCACTCTAAGACTGCAGGTTTAGTTTTCGGAGGCAGAGCTTTCCTTTATCAGGCTCCTCTTTTGTAAAACCAACTTCCAATTTCTGTCCGTGATACTGACACTCTGTCTTAAGACTTGGCTTAAAGGGCCAATATTATCTGTTTCTCAGACATGTACAGCGGTGTGAAAAAGTGTTTGCCCCCTTCCTGATTTTTTGCATGTTTGCCACACTTAAATGTTTCGGAACATCAAACTAATTTAAATATTAGTCAAAGACAACACAGGTAAACACAAAATGCTATTTTTAAATGAAGGTGTTTATAATAAAAGGGAGGAAAAAATCCAAACCTACTTGACCCTGTGTGAAAAAGTGATTGCTCCCCTTGTTCAAACATAACTGTGGTTTCTCACACCTGAGTACTCTGTCTCCAGCCACATCCAGGCCAGATTATTGCCACACCTGCTCTCAATTAAGACATCACTTAAATAGGACCTGCCTGACAAAGTGAAGTCTACCAAAAGATCCTTAAAAGCTACACATCATGCGGAGATCCAATGAAATTCAGGAACAAATGAGAAATATCTATCAGTCTGGAAAGGGTTATATAGCCATTTCCAAAGCATTTGGATTCCAGCGTACCACAGTGAGAGCCATTTTCCACAAAAGGCAAAGACATGGAACAGTGGTGTATCTTCCCAGGAGTGGCCGGCCACTTGGACCAGCTCATCCGGGGGAATCCCAAGACGTTCCCAGGCCAGCCGAGAAACATAGTCCCTCAGCGTGTCATGGGTCTTCCTCTGGGCCTCCTTCCAGTGGGTCATGCCCAGAACACCTTACCAGGGAGGCGTCCAGGAGGCATCACCTCAACTGGCTCCTCTGGACGTGGAGGAGCAGCAGCTCTACTCTAAGTCCCTCCTGGATGACTAAGCTTCTCACGCTATCTCTGAGGGAGAGTCTAGACACCCTGTGGAGGAAACTCATTTCAGCTGCTTGTATCCGCGATCTCATTCTTTCGGTCACTACCCAAAGTTCGTGACCATAGATGAGGGTAGGAACATAGACCTACTGGTGAATCGAGAGTTTMGCCTTCTGCCTCAGCTCTCTCTTCACCACGACAGACCGGTACAGCACCCGCATCACTGCAGATGCAGCACCAATCCGCCTGTTGATCTCCCATTCCATTCTTCCCTCATTCGTGAACAAGACCCTGAGATACTTAAACTCCTTCACTTGGGGCAGGACCTCCTCCCCGACCCGGAGAAGGCACCCTACTGGTTTCCAGCTCAAGACCATGGCCTCTGATTTGGAGGCACTGATCCTCATCCCGACTGCTTCACACTCAGCTGTGAACCGCTCCAGTGAGAGCTGGAGATCAAGATCTGATGAAGCAAATAGGACCACATCATCCGCAAAAAGCAGAGATGTGATCCTAAGGTCACCAAAAAGGATCCCCTCAACACCTTGGCTGCTCCTAGAATTTCTGTCCATAAAAGTTATGAACAGAATCTGTGAAAAAGGGCARCCTTGGCGTAGTTCAACTCTCACCGGAACTGAGTCCGACTTACTACCGGCAATGTGGACCAAGCTCTGGCAACGGTCGTACAAGGACCTAACAGCATGTATCAACGAGCCTGGTRCCCCATACTCCTGGAGTACCCCTCACAGGAGTTCCCGAGGGACATGGTCGAATGCCTTCTCCAAGTCCACAAAACACATGTAGACTGGTTGAACTCCCATGCACCCTCCAGGACCCTGCAGAGAGTGTAGAGCTGGTCCACTGTTCCACGACCAGGACAAAACCACACTGCTCTTCCTGAATCCGAGATTCAACTCTCCGATGGACCCTCCTCTCCAGGAGTCAGATTTATAAAGGATTGCGTGGAAACCATACTAAAAATGAACGTACGGCCAAAAGGCGAAAATAGTGTACGCCAAAAAAAAATTCAGATTTATAAAACCGTGCGTACACACGTTTCTGCGCACCTTTCATTTATAAATCATAGCCGCACGTGAGCACTAGGTCCTTCCGCAGGAACACGCCCACACTCAAACCTAAACAGTCAATGTAAAGTACCTCCTGGATGTTAAGATGTATTTAAATCAGTCAGCTGATCAATGTCAAAAGAAGCGGTTGGCTCAAACTCGCGCACCGACGTCCGTCTGGAGGATGACAGGTGCTGACTGACAACTGCTCATGTGAACAGAATGTCTGTAATTGACACAGATTTTCCCTCATTTTGTAGGTTTACAAACGTTTACAGTAATCTAATGATTTTTATCAAAAGCTCAGCTTCAAATTAATTTTCTCTCAGAGCCTGCAGGACGATAAAAACAATAAAAATAAAATAAATAAGTCAGATAAACTTAGAAATAATTTCACCACTCGTCTCCCCCGTCCTCCCCCTCCTCTGTTATCTGCGACCCCAGGACCCCTGAATAGACCTTACCAGGGAGGCTTAGAAGTGTGATCCCCCTATAATTGGCACACACTCTGCAGTCCCACTTTTTAAATACGGGGAACCACCTCCCAGGTCTGTCAATCCAGGGGAACTGCCCCTGATGTCCAAGTGATATTGTTGAGTCGCATCAACCAACACAACCCCATAACATCCAGAGCCTTAAGGAACTGCGGGCGAATCTCATCCACCCCCGGCACCTTATCACCGAGAAGCTTTTTAACCACCTCAGTGACCTCACCACCAGAGATTGGAGAATCCGACCCAAGGTCCTCAGGCTCTGCTTCTTCATGGGTAGACATGTCAGTGGGATGAAGGAGGTTTTCCAAGTATTGTCCCTACCGACCTGCTACGTCCTGAGTTGCGGTCAGTAGCACACCATCCCCACCATAAATAGTGATGGTGGAAAACTGCTTTACCCCCGAGACGCCGGATGGTGGACCAGAATCGCCTCAAAGCAGTACAGAAGTCTTTTTTCATGGCCTCTATGAACTCCTCCCACGCCCGAGTTTTTGCCTCAGCAACCACTCGAGCCGCAATCCACTAGGATTGTTGATACCTATTTGGCTGCTTCCAGAGTCCCACAGGCCAAAAAGACCAGATAGGACTCCTTCTTCAGCCTGACTGCATCCCTCACCACCGATGTCCACAAGTGGGTTCAAGGGTTGCCGCCATGACAGGCACCGACAACCTTATGGCCACAGCTCAGGTAGCCACCTCGACAATGGAGGCACAGAACATGGCCCACTCGGACTCAATGTCCCCCACCTCCCCCGGACCATGTTCGAAGTTCTTCTGGAGGTGTGAGTTGAAGCTCTGTCTGACGGGAGACTCTGCCAGACGTTCCCAGCAGACCCTCACTATACGTTTGGGTCTGCCAGGTCTGACTGGCATCCTCCTCTACCAATGGAGCCAATTCACAACCAGGTAGTGGTCAGTTGACAGCTCCACCCCTCTTTTCACCCGAGAGTTCAAGACATGCGGCCGCAAATCAGATAAAACGACAAAGTCGATCATCAAACTGCGGCCTAGAGTATCCTGGTGCCAGGAGCACTAATGGACACCCTTATGCTTGAACATGGTGTTCGTTATGAACAATCCATGATGAGCACAGAAGCCCAATAACAACACAACATTCAGGTTCAGATCGGGGCAGGGTTCCTCTCAACCACACTCCTCCAAGTCTCATTGTCATTTCCCACGTGAGTGTTGAAGTCCCTCAGCAGAACGAGGGAGTCCCCGTTAGGAGCACTCTCCAGCACCCCCTCCAAGGACTCCAAAAAAGGGTGGGTAATCTGAACTACTATTAGGCTCATAGGCACAAAGAGTCAGGACCCATCCCCCCATCCATATGCGGATGGAGGCTACCCTCTCATTCACTGGTGTGAACCTCAACGTACAGGCACCAAGATAGACTTCTCCCTGGGCTGCCAACTTATCATGGCAGAGAGGTTTGATTGTCCCAAAGATCCTAGGAGCTATGTTAGGGTCACCCAATGCAAACAGGTCCTAGGTGAGGGATCAGACAAAGTGCAGCCCAAAGACCCCTATGATGGGTACCATAAATGGATTCTGTGTTCCCTCGCCCTGACGCGGGTCACCAGGGCCCCACTCTGGAGCACGGCCTGGAGGTGAGACATGTTGGTGAGCGCCTGGTGGCCAGGCTTTCGCCCATGGAGCCCGGTTTAGCACAGCCCGAAGAGGAAACRTGAGTCCCTCCTCCCATGGGCTCACCATCTGTGGGAGGGGCCAAAGGGGTTGGGTGCAGTGTGTGTTGGGCAGTGGTCGAAGGCGAGGACCTTGGCGGTCTGATTCTCAGCTAGGTTTTTAAGAAAACGGCTGCTTAACAATTATTCATTAATTGATAGATAAGATCAATCAACGTTAGATTAATTCATTAATTGAAAACTTGCRTCCTCTCCCTGGGCTGTCACCTTATTGTGGTGGAGAGGCAACATTGGACTGAGTGTTCTAAGGGGACCTTGGCAGTCCGATCCTCGGCTACAGAAGCTGGCTCTAGGGAYKYGGAATGTCACCTCTCTGGTGGGGAAGGAGCCTGAGCTGGTGTGTGAGGTTGAGAGGTTCCCACTAGATATAGTTGGAATCACCTCGACGCACCGCTCTGGCTCTGGAACCAGTCTCCTCCAGAGGGGTTGGACACTCTTCCACTCTGGAGTTGCCCATGCTGAGAGGCGCCGAGCAGGACTGGGAGTACTTATTGCCCCTCATCTTGGTGGCTGTTTGTTGGGGTTCCATCCAAGGGTTACTTCCAAAAATGAAATCAAATAAGTTCTTAAGAACCATGTCATCCATGGCAGGGTTTCCCCTACATGTAGTCGTGGTGCTCCGCCACGGCAAAATAAAAGCCGCCACACCTTCAGAATGAAGTTTTCTTTTTTCTTGACAACGTAAAACGGGTTGACACAACCATTGTTTAGGCTGTCCAAGATAACCTATTTTCGTTTCGGACAACCAGATCCCACCTCCCGGTTGTCTGGAGGACAACCAAGGAAAAAAAAGACCTATGACTTCGACCCACTAGCGGGATGCAGTTACCAGGTGCCTGGAGTGACTCACTTAAATGTTAAGTGTCAAGGTCAAAACAGCTGTCAATGACACTGTTCAGAACAGGGTACTTTCTGCACTTCATTTATTTTACAAAGGTTTGTACTGTTTCCATTAAAGAAAACTAATGTTCTCACCACATCTTTTATTCATTTTGTCCAGCTGTAGACTAGATCTCTGTCCAATCAGAGCCAGGTATTGTGTTGATGGTGTTCAGTACAATTAATTCAATCCAAGTCTATGGAACAGTCACAAAATTTCACCAAAATCACTCTGTCCCTCTAAAACCTTTCAGAAAATCGAATCGTATCGTTTGCTGAATATCATGATATATCTCGTATCGTATAGCCCAGCTCTGGTCCTGCTGGAGGTTTCTTCCTGTTAAAAAGGAATTATTTTCCCCCACTGTTGCCAATGAGCTACTCAGGCTGAGAAATTGCTTATTTAGATAATTTTTACTAAATCAGTATTTTATAATCYATGTGAATGTTTTTGTACAGTGCCYTGAGATGAMTTTTGGAGTGAACTGGAGCTGTATAAATAAGCTGAACTGATTTGAATTACATTGCTTGCACAAGAGAAGAGGCTTTTGTTCTTTACATTCTTAAATACAGATGAGGCAGAGTATGCAGTAAAGAAGTACTTACCACTGAAATGCATTGTAACGRAAGTACACCATTCCCAGGCCATATAAAAAGGCAGCATTCTGGGGGGAAAGGTGACAAAACTTAAATTCAACAATGCAGGCACTTTTCTGCAGTTTCTTTAGTTCAGATATTTACTGTACATCGAGGCTGCAGCTGGGTGGTGTTAAACCCCACTTTGCATATTTTCATTACTTATAAAACACTGACATGAACTGCTAAAAAACAAGGAGGAAAAGTCTYGTCCTGTGAAATCAATGCCTATTTTTGTCTAATCAGTTTCACACAAYCTAGTGATAGTTGTGATAGTCAGACCAACACATAATTGCTGTGCCTGTGAAGAAATGAAATATGAACCCAGCACTGTCAGGCATGATCACAACCTAACTGTCAACATGTGTTTAATGTTTGTTTAAATCAATTAAATATCAAACTAAATGGGCATGTTCATCTCCAGTAAAGATGACACAATGGATATATAGTCCCCTTTTTTATATGCACTAATCTTAAATCCTGCATGTAGTGTTTATTAGAAACTATAAAAATATATCACAGCAAACCTTTCTTTAGAGGTTCCAGAAACAAAACACTAATAAAAGAAATGAGTTTATTTATATTTAAAGAGACCATTATCAATAYTGAATCAATTATGTAACTTATCAAACTTCCTGTGGAATTGTTCAGTCTCTGAAAAATATATGTTATTGTTGAATATCTACGGGAGTTGAATGTATTTTAATCCTCTGATAAACACTCACCAACAGTGTTAAGCAAACTCACCTTCCAGTAGTCTGGCTGTAAATTGAAGTACCTCTGGTATGCTGATAATGCTGAAAAATGATGGGATGAAAGTGGGAAAAAAGATTTAAAAACAAATAGTGGTGAGATTATAGTAGTTATAAGCTAAGGAGGTTTAGTTTGGCTACATTTCAGAACCCAGAAATTCTTGTTTTTAAAGACGAACACATAGTTTCCTTTAGTTAGGCTGCTGTAGGCAGCCACATTTCCTCACTCTGCTGTTGTCTTTAGTCTCTCTTCTCTACATGTTTATTSTTATTATTTCTATCATGTTTTTTCTTTGTCTCTTCCAGAAGAAGGTGCACCTGGACCAGTCCTGGACCAGTTCTTCTGTGTTTGTCTGTGTCTCTTTCCTGTCCTCCAACCAGCCGGTCGAGGCAGATGGTCTCCTGTCCTGAGCCTGGTTCTGCTGGAGGTTTCTTCCTGATTAGCAGGGAGTTTTTCCTCTCCACCGTTTGCTCAGGATGGGAGACTGTGATGAAGTGATTCAACACAATCTACTGCTTTCTTCTTTACATTGTTCTTTTTATCTACAGTGCTCTGTTTGTTGTGACTTTGCAATATATAAATAAACTGATCTGAACTTTTCATGACAAAGAACTGTTAATTCAGAATTTTTTGTAGTAACTAAGGTGCAACTTAAACTATTTAAAGAAACAATAATTGCATTACACTTAAAATGTACCTTTTGGATAGTCCTCCAGGAGGAGATTGAAGTGACCAAGCTGGCAGAAAACCTCAGGGTCCACTTTTCCCTCTGCTTTCAGGATGAGGGCATCATAGCAGCTCACAGCCTAAACCAACAATAGTAACAAGTTCAATTTATGCTGCTACACATTTTGAGATTCTACACACAAGGAGGCCAAAACACACAAATTCTCACTTGAACCTGACCTTAATGTGTAGACAATCAGGTGATCATCTGACACAGCAGACTCTTCTAAGCATTAACTGAATAATCTTRAATCATTTTGAATAGCACCTGCTGTTTGCAGCTCTGGTCTGTAACATCTGACAGAAACTGTTATCCCCACGATGTAGAAACATGGAAAAGAAGACATTCTAACAAAACTGCTTTGTTTTGTTACCACTAATATTATTTAGTGCTGGGCACGTTATCGCGTTAATGCAGCTGATGCTAACAGCGATTTTTTAAACGTGCGTTAACACATTTCCTTTATATTTCTCCATCAGATCTCTGTGCTGCCTGTGAACACGCACACACACAGACACACAAACCCAGTAGTCACTGCGGGGGGCAGGATCTTGATCACTATTGGCTTTAGATAGCCTTCATCRCTYGTCTCATCCAATGAGAGTGTTTGTTGTTGAACATGGCAGCTGTTGATATGAAGCAGAGCTGCAGGGAGGAAACATGCCTGAAGCTGCTGGATTCTTCAGGACAGTTTTTATTTTAAAACTTTAAGACGGGAGGAAGTAAAGCTCTCTGTAAGCTCTGCAACACTGAACTGTCTCAGCACCGGAGCAGGCAGAGCCTGAAACATCACTTCAGTTTAAAACTAGAGCAAACACAGGCAGGTYCTGCTGACCAGTGTGTGGGACAAAGACTGCCTTGCTTTGCCTTATTTGTTTAAAGTTTTTGAAAATGCATTGCCCCTTTTTTATTTAAAACAATACCTAAAATGCTCTAAACATATTTAAGTCAGTTAAATTCTGTGCAGAATAATGAAATTAAATCCAGAATCCAAGGATTTTGTATTATGAGGAATGAAAGACAGAGGAGGCCCCAGTGTATAAAAATACATCAACCAATAGCCGTGTTTCCATCCTATTTTAATTCAAATTTTGAGCAAATTTTTTTAAATTCACAAAAATGTAAAAACGAATAAATGTGAATCAGACGTGTCCATCAACTGGCTTGAAGTGAATCAGTTACGTCAGACGCATGCGTGTAGTAAACAGGAAGTAGTAAACAGGAAGTAAAAGTCTCATCTCAGGACCATGGAGAGAAGTTATCAGGAACATGTTGCTACTGTCGGAAAAGATGTAATGATTCTGTCATCAACTAGTTTTGATGAAGTTACTGCTGTCTGTAGACGTAGAGAAAGAAATGACATTTTCTTCAAACGAAACACAGCTAATAAGAAGTTAAAATGAAAAACAAAAGAATAAATCAACAGTGTTATCACACATATTGCAACATACATGCACAATGGGCCTCATGCAAGAACACGTTTGTATTCTTCTCCTAAATTTCTCTTACTTTTGTTCGTACAAAGGGTTCGTACGAACATGTCACGTCAGATTCAACAAACTCTTCTGTCTTCAGGAAAAGTGCGTAAATGAGCTGCGTAAATTCACCTGTTCTATCCAGCTGCTCGTGCACGCGAGAGGAGATTAGCATAATTACCACCCCAAATCAAGTACACTTCGCTGCAGCATGCAGCTCGGGGCGGTGACAGACCTTTCCGTCGGTGCCATAC